TGATTTAATTTCATTTAATTAAAATCAATTTGCCATCATTCGAAGTGCAACCTCCAACGCTTATGTAAGGCTATGTGAGGCTACATAAAATATTTACATTTAATTAGATTGCATTGAGATACTCTTACAGTAAGTAAATGCGTTGAGTAAGGAATTTATATGACAGAAAAGAAAATGATGTTGCATCAAATCTCTAACGATAGTAGAAAAATAGCAAATGAAATTAATTTAAACTTTAACAGGATTCAATAATCTAAAACTCAGCAGGATAATTAAGACAAACTCATCAATTCCAAAGTTCATAAAAATAATTACATAGCATTTGTGTAATAAAAGTAGCATCTGCAGCCGCACTCCTCATAATGAAATACGAGAAGGCATTATTTAATAGAATTTAAGTCATTAGTCTGGAATATAAACTAACATACATAGCTCAGCAGTTTTTTGTTAGCAAATTTATTAACCTTATCTGAAAGGTTGAAAGCTTGAATAAAAATAGAAGATCTTGAAAATAATTACACTTTTACATCGTTAACCTTATGATTCAGTTATTGAAATCTTTTAATCTGTGGAAGATTGAATCTCCCATTAAATCATTACTGTCGCAGTTATGAGGAGGACGATGAAAGTGCCTCACATCTGTTTTGTAAGTGTCCAGCTTATGCGGGCGGCTATTGACTATGGTAATGGTAATGGTTTATGGGTAAGGCGAAGGCCTATATGCACTGCGAGCAGCTTGATTAATTGTGCACCTTTTTATATTTAGACATTTAGTATCTTGAGGAATCGAATCAGCTACTTCGGAGGGAATTATTGAAAGTCTTTATTCCCTAGTTGATATGCATCTAAAGTTTTGTTTGTACTGTGGCCTAGTACATCTCAGTTGGTGAGCAAAATTTCCATAGAGGATAAGGGATTACTTTTTTGAAGATCTTACTCAGTTTCAGCACCTCTATCTCTTAAGAGCCTTTTAGGTTTTACTAAGGGTTCAAGGTGGTTTTAAACTTTTGTGTTCTTATCCGGTAACACATTGGATCAATAGTCGTAAGTGGATTTTTTATACAAAATCTAAATAAAATCCACATGAAAGTAAGATAAAAGCATATATATACGTATATGTATATATTGAATTGTAACTTATTTTATTCATTATACCATAAGATTAAAACTGTTCTTATCCGGTAACATATTGGATCAATAGGCCTAAGTGGATCCTTGGCTAATGTTATATTTATACTATTGTACTTAAATCGAGAAATTTGTAATATATGCCATTTTTCATACAAAATCTAAATAAAATCCACATGAAAGTAAAATAAAAGTAAATATGAACAATTTTGGTCATGAAAGGGTTAAGGAGTGCAAACTAATTAGCCTTAATTGAATTGTTGGCAATCTATGACTATAAGAAAATAGAAATAAAATTAAAGTTAAAAATAATTATTATGATGGGCACATGCCAACGATATAGAAGGACATGGGGCAACTGAGGGTCAAGAAACCATTTCACCAAATAAAAGCAAAAGAGTAAAAAACGCAATTACACTTAAGTAAAAAAAATTAAAAAATGTTCTTGGTTTTTTTATATGAAGATATTTAAAAGATGTCTCTGTATCTTTGCTGTGATAACAATACGTCATATTTTTTTAGTTTATTTTAACTTCATTGCACTTGCAAGGGGATTTCCAACTAGAAGCAAACAAGAGAACTGCGCGTGATGCAATCACGTCATTGTAGAAATCATTCCATTGGCATATAACTTTACGTAATGGTTTTGTGAATTAAGAATAGCACATATGTATGAAATCATATTCAATGCCAGACAATTTTATTTTTAATTATTTTTTATTTATGTTAACTATAATATTTTATTTATTTACTTAAAGTTTTTTGATAAATTTGTAGTCCTGTCTGAATAGGCATAAATGGGTGGAGACTGGGGGGGCGCAGTGCTTAATTTGTTGGTACACTTCTAACAAAGAATCAAATACTCTGCGGGAATTCGAGTGTGAGAGAAAACCGATGAGAGAAACAAAAGGACTCAAGCTTAAAAAAATAACGATTTTAGTCATATATCAAAAATAGTATATCAGAGAGAGAGAGAGGTCTAACTACTGTCTTGATTACGCCCACACCATCAGCATTGAACACAGAGTTAGATGGAATAATGAACGGTATGAAAAATTTATCAACTAGCTTCGCTAGCTTTGCCAGTTTTGCTGGCGATGTCGCTAGCATTTAGTTAAAAACTATCCAGCTAGAAAGGCATTTGATTGAGTACCAGTTGGCGAAAAGTACGATCGATGACGTACGCATCTTTAATGTAATGATTAGGTGATAATTGATCTGACATCACTGTGTACAATCAACAGGCGACAGCAAGCTGCTCATTAAGCTGTCTGTCGGGGGCTAGGGGTCGCATGTATATATCTGTAAATGCCAATTAAGCAAATATATATAGTAATAAATAATTTATTCAATACCTAGTATTTTATATTTTAATTAACAAATTCATTAATTTCAATTTATTGAAAATTTGTCAATTTATCTAAAAAATAATTTTAGATTAAATAAATAAGAAATATTTAAGTATCGATAAATGAAAAATTTATTTTATACTAAATAAAACAAATTCTATTCATGATTTCATTTACGTGATCATTAAGTTTTTCGAAATTTTCAGAACAAGGTGAACATGATTATGATATTTTATGACTTTTAAAAATATTATTGCAAAATAAATAAAAAAAGACTCACTGATTTATATTTATTTAAATTTAAATTATCTATAGTTACAAGTATTTAAGCCTACAAAAATATTTAAAATATTTCTGTTTGAATTTTGTATAAAGTCAGTAGCATTATTAACTATGAAAATTCCAAGTGAGTATTTATTTATTCATAATTAATTAACAGCTTTTGTGAGTATTATTCAATATATTTTTTTGTTATTCTCTATAATTAATTACAATAATTTATTTACTTTACACATATGATGTTAACAATTACACATTATTTATTCGTAGTATTCATCAATGGGATTAAATATTAATAAATTTTAAAACTGCACTAATAAATATTTATGGAGCAAAATTCAAAATGTTAATATTATTCAACTAAAAACACAATATCATATCTATAAATAATTCAATGATTTTAAAATATATACTTAATTGGGTGCGCATTTCTATATATGCAATTATATCTGCATTGCTGAAGAGTTAAAAGTGAATGGAGGTGTGTGTGCCAGAGAGCTTTGTTCAATTATATTGCGTATACGCCCTGTTGTTCAGTTTACTATTTAAATTGCATTATTTCATAATAAAAACTTGTCACAAATGTAAATATAAAAACTTTAAATATATTTGTACGTGAAAATATGATATAAGTGCTTATGAGTACACATTATTTATTAAAAGTTGCGACATATAATTTGGAATTAATTTTTGAAGTTGCTTTTAATGTAGAACTATTTGTAGTGTTCATTAATTTTATTCTAATAATTGAGAAATATAAATTATATTCATGCTCTTTTATTCACGATCATAAGTTACGTTTTAATTACCTGGTTTTTAGTTGGTTCTTTTAACTAGAAATGAAAATTACTGACCGATCACTACTAATCGGACAACCAGATCAGTAATGATCTAGTAATAGTGTAACGATTAAAAGTGATCGATCTAAATCCCAATTGCCTATTGAACCCATAATAATAATTGATAATGGTATTTCTGCGTTTCATCACATTATGATAGACTCAATGCAACGATACCTTTTTTGTCGGCTTAAATTGCATTAAAAAGGGTCAGTCTGCAGATCAAACGTGGAATTATCATTGTTAACAAGTATTGACAAATGAGATGGAAATGTCACATTCGACTTGCAAAACTTAGGCTCAGTTTATTTTATGTATACTTCAAAAAGATATAAATATAAGTAATTGAAATGTTAATATCTCTCTCGACTTGCAAAATCTATGTTATATAAGTCAGTCAATTGATTTTACATATGCTTCAAATAGGTATCATTGTATAGAGTCTATCATAAAGTGATGAAACGAAGAAATATCATTATCAATTATTATTATGCGTTCAATAGGCAATTGGGATTTAGATCCCAATTATACTCTCTCTCTCTCTTAACTGAAGAAACTTTCTTGCGTTCTATACGCCGATCAGCTATTACAAAATGAAACAGAAAGCAATTTAGATGCAGATCTCTCTCTCTATCTATCTCTCTCTTTAGAGTGACACAATTTACGCTTATAGAAGCATAGAAAAGTGAAGGCTATTACAAAATGCTGAAGCAGCAGTGAGATTGTTCTAGAGAAAAGTTTTTCCTAAGATCTTTGGTCCTCTACAAGTTGGCGACGATTTGAATGAACCACGAACTATACGAGTTTTTACACAGCACTTGTCTGGTGCCTCGTTTTCAGTTCAATTACGGAATATTTGTGTATATATATCCAAATACAGCTTATAGAATTAATAACATATCGTACTTGTGTATATTATTATTCCTATATCTTGTATCTGTATCTAGATACAAAAGTTCTTTATTTTTTCTGAGTAGATACAAAATACAGCAATATCGAAATACAGTATCGAAATACTGAGATACTATCTAGTTATTATCTAATAGTAATACTATCTATATACTAGATAAATGTGATCTTATTTCATGAATATTTAAGCAAGAACGGAGCTTTTCAATTCTAATAAAGTTTCTGGTATTTCTTTCTTAGAAGTTTGGTTGAAGTTAGTAAATCA